TCTATATTTATTGATCTCAAATTAGTGTAAATTAACCTTCTTAAGTTACGGATTCTATTTTATCCTCATTTTGGCATACTTGTACTTTTTTAATTGAGTGGGTTTTACATCCTCTGTTATTTGCTTCTCCCTCCATCCTTGTTTTAATGTTTATTCTTCCTGTTTTCATGTGCATTCATTTCATCATTGTAAAGCCCTTTAAGCTGTATTTCCTATAGGTTTGATCCAAATAAATTTAATTAAGATTCAAGATTTGTGTTTGACTTTTCTTTTACACTACATACTCCATGCATTCAGCCAGTCAAATGTGATCTCTGAGCCTTTTTCCCCTTCAGGTTTAGAAAACATTTTTTAAGCTGATTTTCAGGGATATACTCTGTATATGAACTCTAGTGTTTGTTTAAAGCACAGTGTCCTGCAGAAACAGAGGGTTTGTACCTGTGCGTTCCACGGGCAGGAACCCCTGCTGCAGGAGTAGATGCTTCAGGTACTCGTCGTCGACGGGGATTTCAGTCACCATGTTGCTTGGCACGTAGCCACAGAGACCACCGGACTCACCGTGATAAAAGCCATCACAGTCTTTGTCTCCCCTCACCTGTGTGTTTTGGGAAAACAAACCCATGAGTGAGAAGGCACGTTGCAGCCGTCTCTCAGTGTCAGTGAAAAGGCGGCAAATCACATCAAGCGGTTAAAAAAGGGGGGACAGGAAATTAATAAAAAACCTCAGCTCTTCTACACAGTTGGCTGGCCTGATTCATGTACAAACAGGAAATGATCTTTCATAGAGTTTTTATATGAGATATACATATTAATGCACTTCAAGAGCATCATAATACACTGTAAATCATTTTCCTGCTTCAATCTTGTATGCTCTCAATAAATAAAAATAAAATAAAAGCCTTCACATGTTTGTTTTTTTTACCTTGATTATCTGGCCTGGTACAAACGGCAGCTCTTCAGCAGCTGTCTCATAGTTGGGCGACATGGCAGCAGGGTTGTATGGATACAGTGCTACAAAGAGTCGGACAGTAGGTATAGACACCTGACTCGCAGTCTCAAGTTCCCATTCTCTGAGCTCCTCCGGGGTAGCAATCCTCACTTCATTTGGATATATCAAAACATCTAACTGCAGACTTGTCTCCATTTACAGCAGCAGCAGCAGCAGCAGCAGCAGCAGTGAGCGTCCACTCCTTGAGCATGCACTTGGCAGACAGATGGTTGCTGTACACTGCAGACCTGTCCCGTCCTTTATCCTAATTTAAAGTAACTAAGCTAAGCAGAAGGAGCGCTAATCCTCTTTGAAGGCAGAAGAACGATTCATTCGTTTAGCACTGCTTGTTGCTCGGTGAGACTCTGCAGTAATGAATTAAACAGGTTACAAAGGAACTACTAATACATTATCTCGGTCAGATAACAGCATGACCTTCTTTTAGTACACTTGTGGCAGCTGAGAGAGAGAGAAAAACATCTTCAATGGAATTATTTAAAAATAATGATCTAAAAATGATCCCTAGAACTGGTAGACTCATTTAATGAGAAAACAAGCAAACTAAAAACGTTTGTTTCCAAATGTGTGAATATATCCCTTCAGAAACAAATCAGTTGAGGTCAAATCTCATCAATACATTTTAAATAACCTTTTTTATGCATATCCTCTGGTCATTTAGACTTTGTCTTTGCATCTGCTTTACATCAAATGGTCCAAAAACAACAACACTTTCAATCTGAAACAACACATGGCACTATTAAGTTAAAGCATCCGGGATATTTGATCCCCTTTGAGATAAACAACCCCACAGTCTAGTGTGTGAGGAGGTATTCTTTTCTACCTCCACCAGGACTTGACCCAGTTTACACGTCACTGAAAGTCATCACTTCCTCTCTTGACCTCAGGTCAGGTCAGCAGGTGATAATCTGCTCCAGCAGAGGAAGAGAGGCTTGAACATTCTCTGTCTGTTTGTTTGTTTGTGTTTATGTGTGCATGTGCCTTTGTAGAGGTACTAAAGCTTGACATATACGTATGTCGTTGATAAAATTAGAAATGAGGAAGTTAAGCATGCTAACAGCATCCATTTTGCTCAGTTTGTTGTGAGCAAGTTTTTGGTATAAACTCCACAAACTCCTCACAAATTATAATTATTTAAAAGTTAAATGCATTTGACTAGCTATTTATTATATATATTTGAATTAACCTCTCAGCTCCTGCAATTAAAGTAGAACATTTCCCTCTCCAAAAAGCTTAAACAATGATATTTTATTGGTTATTTCATTTATTCTCCCATAAAACAAAGGATCTAACTATTATTGTTCTTCCCCTTTTGTTGTATATGTATTCTTCTTTTTTCTTTCTGTTCATTCTTCTGTGTCTGTGAACTGCCAGCTTCTACATTTTTGTCATCATCTTCCTCAAAGGAATAAATACAGGCAAGAGGAATTGTACTGACTCTGCGATGTAAAGGTGATACTGTGTTTGCAAAATCAACAGTTTCATAAGACAGAGATCACCTACTGTACATGATGCCTCATCCTCAGATACGCTCTGCTCTATTTCCATCCACAAGAGGGAGCTGTGCACAGTTGTCTTTCTGGTTGTTTCAGGTTGCTGAAATTGTGAGTTGGGTGAAGGAATTTAAATTCACTGGAACAAATTGGAGGCATTTTAATTCAGAGGAACTGAACTGCTGCCTTTAATAAGCATCTTCTGCTTTAAGCCAACCTCACCAGAAGAGTTTGCCCCCTGCATTGCTCTCCAACATTTGGCCTTGAGACAGGAAGTGCAGCGCTTTCACGTTACAGTTCATGGACGCTCTGTGTACTGCTCTGCAAAAATCATTATGTCATGATTGAGAAAAAAAACTCTTAACTAAACATGTGGGATGCAGTGATGTTGGTCGGAAATAATGAGAACACGGGAAAAGGAACAGAAATGTTTGCGGACTTATGTTGATCGCATCAAGTCCAGAATTCAGACCAAACCATTGCTACAATAGTAGTGGTTTAAAGTAAGGACTTTTCTTTGGTCAAACTGGGAAACCAGAGAAAGAGTTTCCAACCCTAAAAGTTCTGTTTAAACTCAGTTTTATCCGTATTGGTATGATCGGACACTCCTCCAAACACAATGAGAGATTGGAAATCTTTTTTGTGGCTCTATTAACTTGATTGACTGATTTGCAATTAATAAAACCATTCCACCACCCTTTAACATCATCGGGCAGCTGCCCTTCTCAGTTTCATAACGTTTTAGAGAAAACTGAGGATGTGATGGATTACTTGTTACAATCAAAGATGAGAAAGTCAGGAAAAAAAAAAACAAGTGGCAGGCTGGGCACAACAGATGTAGGTACAGCAGGAGTGCCTCGAGTCCTGAGTCCAAGGACAAAAACATGATCCAGGCCAGAAAAAACGAATCACAAAAACCCTGGCTACTTTTCTTTTGAAGTTCTTTCACTCTCTGCCATTCTTCCACCTGGGGACAACTACCATAAAAGTCTATCTTCTCCTGGTTTTGTCCATTCAATTGCTGACATACTTCCTTCCTGCTGTAGACTTGGCCTCCATTTTCTCAGGAGATGTTTCAAGGAGACCGACAGGAAAGTTAGACTCATAGAAGTGGTACCCCAAGTGAACAGAATGAACAGACTGTTTCATTACCAAATTTGTATATCTAGTCCTGGTAAAACATGATCAGTGTAAAAGTCAGAGAGGCCAAATGGTGGGCCGGAGTTATTCTGCACCTGAGCACCCGACATCGCAGGTAGTAAAAGTGGCAAAATGGCAACGCCAGCAAGAGCTCTTTGTGTGTTTAGCCGTTTTCACATACAAACTTCTGAAAATGTCCACACACTTTTAGGCAGATTGTGCCTGAATTGTTCCTGTGTTGGCTCTTCACACATGTCCCTCACAACTGGAGAGGGGTGGTAGTGCAAAAGTGCACTATTTTGCCTTTACATCAATGTATACTGTAGTTTTACACGATCCATTATCATGTTATCATGTTATTACATTATCATATAACAAAAGAGAGGAAGATGCTGGCTAACAGAAAACATGAAGCTGTCTCATTACATGCACAGAGGTTGCGCAGGGTTGCTGGCATACTGTTTATGGTCGTGCGCCGGTCACAGGATATAAATGTCGAAACCCCATTATTCATTTTCCTAAATTACTTCTGCTGCTTTCTGGCTCACCTGGACTTCATGCTGAATAATTACTAGAGGGCGTGTTGGAAGAAGTCCTGGTAATGTGAGAAATTTGGTTGTTTGCATTCACTTGCAGCTCCTGAAAAACTTTTTCCAGGAGTTTTGTGTAAGTGTGAAAGCAATTTGAGGCTTGAAGTATTTGTTTACATGCCGTATGCCTCTTTGGCTTCTGCAACTCTGTAAATCATTGTAAAATCACAGATGGAAACACCAATCTATGCCGTTGTGGAGTTCAGTGTTAAAGTTACAAAGCATAGTGACAGCAGAGCTTTGTTACGATGCTGTGGTAGAATCTCAGTGCGGAGAAAGGATGGAATGAAACAATGACTTTGTGCCACCTACTTATTGGCATGTGGCTAACCACCTCTGCCTCCAAAAGCAGCGCCCACTTTGATTTCCTGTGATACACCTAGAACCTCCTCCCATCGTCAATCAGTTTGTACATGATCTGTAGCTCGAGAAGACTCCGTTTCCCACAAGGCCTTTAGTCCAGCTGCTCCCATCCATCCATCTATTCCCTATAAGCCTGGCCCTCTGCTTCCCTTGTACGGACTGTTACATCATTGGCACAGACACCCACCTTTCTGAGTGATGACGCAGCCGAGGGAGAGAGTGCGAAGAGGAGGAGGAGGAGGAGGAGGAGGAGTGGTACGAAGAGGAGGAGGGGGAGGAAAAAGAGGAGGAGGAGGGGTGAGGGAGGGGAGAGAGGAGAGAGGAGAGGGTGTCCCGTCTGCGCGGAGCACAGACAGACAGCAGGGAACAGCTGCAGCGTTAGGTTCGCATAGGATTTCACTGCATTGCGATTTTAAGATATCAATCATTTCATCCCCAAAAAACCCCGAGTAGAGCATTTCGACTAAAAGCAACCAAACCTCAATTAAAAAAATGGTCGATCGCGAGCAGCTGGTGCAGAAAGCCAGGCTGGCTGAACAGGCTGAGAGATATGATGATATGGCTGCTGCTATGAAATCGGTAAGTCCATTCAAACCCAGATGTGACATTTAAATGTTCTATATGTAAAATGTTTTTTGTTTTTTTTCTTGCTGTGCGTAAAGGTGCTCCCACAATCTCAACCATGTTGGATGCAAATCTAGTGTTACACTGGCTTTATATTACTGCACAACAACTAGACAATGTAGGGGGAAATATCTTTATTGTCTTGTCGCCAGTTTATCGATAGCTCTTTTTTTTTCTTCTTCTTTGAGTTGAGTCCAATTCGTCTGCTGATTGGGCGGTGCCTTTCTGTTGGCCGTTCCCGTCCAATGAAGGGATATTACAATGAAATGCACACAGGCCTGAGCTTCATCTCTGACTTAATGAGAGCCTAATATCGTGTAATGACTCTGCTCTTATTACATTTGCTGCATTTTATCCTCCCCCCCCCCTTCCCATGCCAACCCCACCTCACCTCCCCTCCAGTATGCCGAATTTGATAAAAGCTTCTGCTGCTGGGGGCCATGTGAGGTTGCTCGGGGAAAAAAAGCCCATCTTCTGCTCCCTCCTCCTCTGGTTCCTCTTCTCCCTTTTCATTAAAATAACTTATGTCTTAAAAAAATCTGAACACTTCCACTCTAGCTGAAAAGGCTTACATGGATTTTTTTTTTCAGCATGAATGCTTCATAGAAAAATGCTCCAAAGAATTATAGCCTTAGAGTGTTCTTTCCTCTAAAGAAACGTAGGAGGCAGTAGAATCTCTCTAGAATATTCTTTGTCATATTGCAGTGAGGCAATATGATCACATTTGTTGGCTTTGCTTTCTCCTCTTGTTCTCAGTTTGTGCATGTGCTGTTCCTTTGTCATATTCCTCCCTATATCCAGAGAAGTCATTTAGGGTAAATGAGCCTGATTAAGGGTTGAATATCTGGCATGAGTGGATTTCCTAAATATGAGCTTTCTCTGCTCTTATTGGTCACTGTTGAGGACAGAGCCTTTGTCTGCTTTCCCTTTTTTTTTTTTTTTTTTTTTAATTGGCCCTCATAAAAAATTCTGGGAGCTGCCTTCACTAATGGGTTAAAAAAAAACTGCTGTGTCACACCAGCACATATTGAAACCGACAGCACCATGGGAGTCTTGTCTTGGGCCTGTGTGACCTCTCACATACTGTATGGGCTGAAGGTGTCATGCGTGCTTTAAAGTGAGGAACATTTTAGTTTACGTTCCTTTGGGGAGATGGAGTGAGATCGTTTGTCATCGAGGGTTTCTGGTTGCAGGAGGTGGGATGATGTGTGTGAGCGCAGGGAGGGATTCCTTTCCCTTTAAACAATCTGCCATGTCAGTGCGGTCCAAAGCAGGCCCTTTTGCAGGGGTGTGTACTCTCACTCTCTAATCAAAGGGAATCCCTTGCCATTGCAGCCAGAAATGACAACGACTGTAACCCTTTGTTTTCTGTGACGTTAAGACATTTCATTCAGAATTCTGAAAGCCTTTTCTGCAGCTTTTTGGGCCAAAATTTTACATATATTAATGGGGGGGTGACTAAAGAACATTTGAATTATTTATCAGTCTACAAATGATTGCCTGTAATTATGAAATAAAAGGTATCTTAAAATGTCAGAATAAATGTCTTCAAGAGTCCAGAAACAAAATTGGTTTTGTCTGTTGGTGATCTCTAATTGATTACTGGACTGATTGTTCAGGGTTACTGGAAGCTTAATGAGGATCTAGATTCTCCTTAAAAAAATTCTAATGATGACATTTTTAGGCATTTTATTCTTAATTTTTAGCACATCAGTATAACTGTCATTCAACCCACATGGCAGTAAGAGTGATGACTGGAAAAACTACAGTTGAGTCATCTGTTCAACAAAAGTCTGCTCAACTGGGCTGCTGATTTCACGTGTCAGTCATTTGTATGCATGTGTTTGTGTCAGGGTTGAACAAACAGAATGAAGGTGTGTGTGTGTGTGTGTGTGTGTGTGTGTGTGTGTGTGTGTGTGTGTGCGTGTGTGACGCCACCGATCCTGCGCCATCTTTGTACTCCTCTAACCGAACAGGGAATGTCAAACCTGTGAGATAAGAAATGTTTGCACATAAAGTAGGGGCTCTTCAGATTCAAAAGCAGTTTAAGGCTTAGCGAAAGCTAAGCTAAGTTTCTTTTTTATATACAATGTCCGATCACAGATCTGACACAAGCCATCTTCCTTCAAGATTGCTTTTCCTATCAAATAACTGTGACTAAAACAGGCTTTTTATAGTAACATAGGCTCACCAGCTATATCAAACTGATCTGTCAGGATCTAAATTTAACAGTTGGACTCAGTGTGATGTCACTGCGTGGTGTTTTGGACAGGTAAAAAGGTCAGTTTGAGTTACAGAGAAGGTCACTGGGACACATGAACTGCTTGTGCAGTGATGGTTTTCACTTACAGTGCAGCTGCCCTGAAGGACTCGTGGGAACATTTTAGCCATCTCCGGTCCACCCCACCACCACCCCCCCCAGTTGCCCACCTTTCCTTTCACCGCCCCACATGACCGCAGACTATCTTAGATATTTCTCTCACTAACTAGTATTAGTGGTCCAAGTGGCAGCTAGAGCTACTGGTACACTAAATGAATGGATTGGCATGGAAACTGGGAACTGACATGACAAGTGAAACTGCTCGTCTTCTGTGCTGTTAAACATACTTATAGTCAATATTTGTTCATGTAGGAAGACTGTAAAATCACTAAACAACAATTGTTTTAATCCCAGATGAATTCTTTGTTCCTTTGAAATCTTGATTAGTCTTGTGGTTTGAAAAATCAACCAAGGGAGATGCTGATTGCAGTTTCAGTAGCCGATTGTTGGTCGATTATTTCTTTAGCCTTTTAATGTTTTACTTCACAGTAAATAGTTAACAAATGAAACAAGAAAAAGGGTCTCAATCCAGGGTCACTATAGTCTTTGGATGCAGTGTTTCTTGGATGCTTTATTGGAGTATCCCTAACTATGACTTCCTCATAATGACCTATATTTTTTCTCTAATCCAAAACCAAAAGATGTTCTGTGTCTGCAATACTATAAAAACAAAGATAAGCAGAAAATATTTTATGAGAAGCTGGAACTAGAAAGCAATTGGCATCATGACTGAAAAGATTCGCCAGCTCTTTAATTTGCCCAGATTTTCTTGGATGACATGTTGTCATATTCGTATTTGTATGATATTTATGCATCTTGTTCTGTTAATCAAGGCCTGTCAAGGCATTTGGACTGCTGATTAAACGGTCCTTTCCCTCTTTCTTCCAGGTAACAGAGCTGAACGAGGCCTTGTCAAACGAGGAGAGGAACCTCTTGTCTGTTGCCTACAAGAACGTGGTCGGTGCCCGCCGCTCCTCCTGGAGGGTGATCTCCAGCATTGAGCAGAAGACCTCGGCCGATGGCAACGAGAAGAAGATAGAGATGGTGCGAGCCTACAGGGAGAAGATTGAGAAGGAGCTGGAGGCCGTGTGCCAAGATGTGCTCAACCTTTTGGACAACTTCCTGATCAAGAACTGCAGCGAGACGCAGCATGAAAGCAAAGTGTTCTACCTGAAGATGAAGGGCGACTACTACCGGTACTTGGCTGAGGTGGCCACGGGTGAGAAGAGGGCCACGGTGGTGGAGTCATCGGAGAAGGCCTACAATGAGGCCCACGAGATCAGCAAGGAGCACATGCAGCCCACCCACCCCATCCGCCTGGGCTTAGCTCTCAACTACTCTGTGTTTTACTACGAGATCCAGAACGCCCCCGAGCAGGCCTGTCATCTGGCCAAGACCGCCTTCGACGACGCCATCGCCGAGCTCGACACCCTCAACGAGGACTCCTACAAAGACTCCACTCTCATCATGCAGCTGCTCCGAGACAACTTGACACTGTGGACAAGTGACCAGCAGGATGACGAGGGAGGGGAGGGAAACAACTAAAGAGAAACCACACTTCGAAAAAAATATATATGAAGGGCCGGTGGACTTTGGCAGCAGCTTTTGCCGATGATACTACCGCAGCAGCAGTTCTTTATTTTTCCATGTGTTAAAAGAAAAGAATCAAAAGAGAGGTGAGAGTGGAGGTTAAATCTTAGTTTAAATATATATAGAAATATATATACAGTTGAAAGGGGCCTCCGTCTTCTTGATTTTCTCTTTGACATTTGCCAAAACCACTGATATGTCAGTCAATCAGCCTGAAGTGGTTGTTGTTGGATTGAAATGGCAGCCTCACACTGGCATAGGAACTGGTCTTGCTCTGTCAAGATAAGCTGCTTAGTTAGGTTTTTGCGTGATAAGAGATGCATTTGAGTCACTTGAGAGAGAAAATGCTTGAATGGGAATGCCTCACAAAACTAGTTTGCATTGGTTCCAGTCGTAGTCTATAAATGAGAAAAAAATGGCCCTGAACGCTATTGATCTTAATCTCACAATGACAATGAGGAAAGAAGAAGTTTTTAAACCGATTAGTCTTCTCCCCCCCCCCACTCCCAAAAGAACATTTTAGAGGATAAATTATATTAGAGTTAAAAAAAGAGGTTGAAATACCCTGATCCCCTACCTTCTGTCTGAAGTGTATTTGGCTTCTCACAGATTAGTCTGTTATGTCACTGGAACCATAGATTCTTTTGGAGGTGAAGATTATAAAAGGCAGAGACTTAACAATATAAAACAAAATTAAAAAAAGACAAAAAATAAAAATAAAAGCAGCTTCAGAGTTTGTGGTTTACTTCTGTGTTTGTTTTATTAAATGCACTTGCCTACTATACTGTTTCTTCAGTGTAAGATGATGACAACAATACTATCGATTAATCAATATTGTGCATGCTGGTGATGTATTTATATACAGTAGCTTGACTTTATTAACTTATACTGTGGGTGTTAAGTATTCATATGATTGAGAAAAACAGGCTTTGTCAGATGTTGATTTCTAATTTATTTATTTTTTTGTTATGGTTTTTGATTTGCTGAACCAAAATGGTGATCGTAAAAATTGACCTGTAATGGGCGTTGCTATAGTGACATGCAATATGTGTATTTAATTTGTTAATGAAAGAAAAAAAAAGGAAGATTAAAGAAAAAAAAAACTCACCGGTGATCACTTAATCTTAGCAGCTGGTGTTTGTCACATTGAAGTATGATTATGATCTGTTTTTTGTTCTTTGAACAGTATTTCAGTACCTTTTTTCTTTTCATGTCATGCTATCCAGTTTGATTAATGGTGACGTTTTCAGGCTCAGTGTTTCTGTTATGAATTCACAAACATGGACCATATTTATTTCTGACAGTATACATTTCTGTTTGTTTGTTTTTATACATTTTAGCTGTTCCTGAGTGACAAAATATCTTGAATGTGAGTCATTATGTAGCAGTTGCACAAGAACCGAAATAATAGCTATGATAATAAAAAAGAATATGACTAAATAATACATGCACCATTTCTGTGGTGGTCTAGTGTATTGTTGTATCGTCACTAATTCAAATATAATTATGTTTTTTTGGGGGAACCATTTAAAAAAACAAAAAAAAAAAACACTTTGCTTTGTTTTGCTGAGTCCAGTATGTGCTTTCTTTGGCGCCTGTATTATGATTTAAAATGCCTCATTTGCAAATCAACCTTTACACACACAAAAAAAGATATCCGCCAGTGTTCAAGGATCCTGCAAGCATGGTGCAAGACTATGATGTCCTTCAATGGTTCCTCACTTGTATGTGTGTACTGCTCTCTGTACAGCACATAGACATGAATATTCACCACTATGCACACATAGAGTTCAACACAATCACTTATTGACTACTGATTCTTCACCTCTTCAGAACAAACTTCGATCACTACCGAGCTCCTTATACGAGCACAGAAAGCTGCTGCTGCTAGTTCTAATATTTATAGATTATAAAGTTAATATATTCATACAGATGGCAGTTTTATTTTAAACTCTTTTATGTTTTATCTCACATGTGGTGGCTTAAAAGAGACAAAAAAAACAACAACCAAAAAGCCTTAAGGTCAGTCACACAAAACCTCCTTCATGTATGCCAATTATGTCACCGTCATGAGTCAGCCTCCATGAGCTCACACTGTATGTCACAGCTGCTTTGATTTATTTTTAAACATGGTATGAAGTTGATGGGGCTGAAGCCTGGCCAGACAAATAGCATGACATCCTGAAACCACTCTGCACCACTCTCTACAGATAGAATGAGACGAGTCCAATCCTACACTTGGATTTATTTATGTTTGAAAGAAAGTGGAAACTGAATCTCTCTCACTTTTGTTGCTTTGAATATTTTTGAAGAAGAAAAAAAAAGATAAGAAGCCATGTCAGTAGACTTTCCCTCATTGCCAAGAATACATGCATTGTGTTACTTTACAATTATTATAGTTTTCACTGTGGTTTGTGTTTTGATTTTAAAGTTTTCATTTATTTGGATGTTAATCCTAAAACATACAAATATGAGAAATGAGGAGATTAGAATTCGATTTTAAATCAGATTAGACTGAAGAAGAACTGGAAATTAGCGAGCGGAGGTGGTGTTAGCTGAAAATGGTTTACAATCTGTATGCTCTGAGGATTTTTTTGTTGCCATCTGTTGCCCATTAAAGTTATTTGTTTATCAGTATTATCCTTTATTTTCATTTCTCTCTGTCATTTTAAAAACACCACAGATCATTCCTTCTCATTCTGTAAGTTGATCAGTGAACAGATTTGAGGTTTACGGCCTACACATTGATACAGGAAGTGAATATGACCTCATGTAACCCTTTAGTGGGACACTCAAAAGAACAGGTGTGTGCGTGGTATGTTTGTGCAAGCGTGCATGCATATTGAGTGTCGTACTGTATAATGTCGTTGCATGTGTTGAGGGTCTGTGAGTGAACGTATGAGATGGAGTCTGTAAAAGCTGCAGTACAGGGACACTGCCAAGCTCACACCACCTCTACATCATATCTTAAATGAAGCTTCACTTTAAGGCAGCTTTGTTCATCTTTAACTAAATTAGGGAATAGAAGAGAGAATATTTCCTTCGGTTTTATCATTACAGCAGAGGAGCTGTGCAATAAAGTAAAATCCTGCATCTCAAGATGGATAATTGGAGGAGAAGCTGCTTCTATTTTTAATTTACATGCAAGCAATATTTATATATTTATATTTAAACCCACAACTAGAATATTATGCAATTCTGTGTGCTTTGATCTGCGAGTCGAGCTCTCACTCTGACTGATAAGCTGAAGTGGCAGGTTGCTGGATCGCCCACCCTCAGACTGCAGCCTCTTGCTGCAGCTTGCTGCACTGAACCTTTCATGAGATGAAATTCTGTGCTTTGAACGCTGCTCCTCGCCAGCCAATAGCTGATAGGCTCACTCTCCGCAGTAACCAATCCCGTTCCTGTTGCTAGGGCTATAATAAGTATCCCACTATTAGCCCGGCTCCTTGCTGCACTGCTCAGACACCTATTGCATCCTGTAAAAAAAATGAAAGCTCAGAGCATACAGGAGGCATTAGGATTCAGCACCAGCCTGTATCTTCCAGCTTGTGTTTTAATGCACTGCTACACTTTCAGGGACATTGGTGTCATCATTGCTGGTAAATGTTGGTGACATTATACATCTTAAAACACAGCGGGGCCTGCGGATGGACATGTAATTGAATTTCATATAGCTACAAATTCAATTCAAGCACTGCTAATGACAATTCCTGTCAAATTAAAATAAAACTTCATTCATATTGCTCCAGTAAATAACGTTAAATTCACAATGCGCACAGAAATCACATGTATTTGTTCGCTTCAGTAGGGCCTTTATGGAATGGGTGTAAACAACATCCAGGGAGAAGATGGTGTTCTAAAGGTCAGAAACAGAAATCCTACTAAACTGAAAATTGTTCTTCCGCGCTTCACTTCCACATTTCAAATACCTGCCCTGTCTCATCATTTTCATCACATGAAGCAGTTTTCTTTGAGAGGAGGCCAGCATGACTAGGCAAACGTAATCATCAAGCCATCATTACGTCTCACAGAGGCGAACGCCAACTAAATCAGCAAAAACGTAAAATCTTTTTTCGCTCCATGTGGAAGGCCATCATGATGCCACTTTGAACAGCGACTTATTACAAAAAAAAAAAGGTCCTGATGATTTAAAAAGAATCTATTTATCTTTGATGATGGATTAAAAATAAACTGTGGAGGCCAGCTCTGTCTTGGAGATGAAAAAAGGTAGGATATTTTTGTCCTTTCTCATTTTCAAGAGCTCTTTCAAGTTTGTAGACAGGTATATCTGTACACATCTCCTCCTCTTTTCTCCTCAGGTACGAGAAAACAGATTCAATGAACCTGCTATCTGCTTTATCAGAATTGTAACTCATTTTAGAAACTAGACACTACATTGCCCGTAGGTGTGAATATGAGTGTGGCCGGTGGTCTCTATAGCCCTGTTTCCACCAGTGGTCTGCTTTGGTTTAGTACGGTTTGGTTCGGATTAGTAGGGTAAACCCTGATCTTGCTTGTGTTTCCCAGGCAGTCGTACCCTTAGTCACTCTGGTTTTGCTCGAGGTTTCTGCCTGTTCAAAGGAAGTCTTTCATTAAAACCGTTAATATTCTAAATGTTACTAAGTACTGTGCTCATGGTAAATAAGTGTGAGGTCTTTGTGCATAATATAATAACGTGCAAGGTCTAGAAAGATACTTTATTTGTAGAGTGTCTTGAGAGAATATTTGTTAAGATTTAGTGCTATACAAATAAATACTGATTGTTTGATTGAGGAAGAATTATAGGCTGAAGGCAGACACAACATCTAGCATGTAGTTTTGTGTTGTTTCTATGCGATAGAGAAAAATGAAAAAGCCTTTTCTTCTTTCTTTCTAAATTTAGACACTTTCCAAGTCCTTCGTGTGATGTTGTTCAAAAGACATTAGGTCAGGGATTTTGGTCCAAAGGTGATCACAAGGTCTTAGCTCTGTTGCAGTCCATTGATTTCCTTTGTTAACTCTGCACTGAACACAGCATTTCTCGCTGTCTACAAATAACTGCACTCAAAGGCATTTAACCTCCTGTGGCTCAGGCCTCAAACACTCATTGTTGAGCCATTCATCATCAACCAGACCACATGGTTGTCACGTCTAGTTTTGGTGCTTCGGGCAAAAATGACAGCTCTGTGGACTGGACATTAGATAACAGCTGCTGAAAAACAAACTGCCCCAAGTTTGACTCCCATTGTAATTGAACCTCGACACATTCCCAAAAAGAATATTTTGTGTAAGAATGACAAATTGTGCGTTTGGGAATCTGGAGGCCTGCTGGTGAAAGATGGCAGCTCATGACCGATCAGGTATTAAAACTAAAGCTTTGGTTTAACTCTCTATTCAATCACTATTCTTCAGCATTGATACCAAAAATGAGGAGATAATATCCCTGAGCTCAGGAGCTGATAAAACAGACGAGACACGTCGGATTTTGAAAAGTTTATGATCTCCCTCAACGTGAGCTGCACCTCAAAGATGCAAAGAAGATAATAGCTGTACAGCTCCAGAAATATCAGCCCATTAGAGGGAGGGAAGGAGAGAGAAAAGATAGATGGAGGGAAAAGAGGGGACCGATGTAGAAGCAGAGAACAGAGACAAATCTATAAATAGGCCTCCCTGCAGCCTGTGAGTAGACAGTGAGTAGACCAGAGACATCAATGTGACAGCCTCTCCACTATAGAGAATATCTGCCTCTGTTTGGACGGTGAGAGTTCATGTCTTCGGTTAAGAGGGTCTGATTCATCAGATTTACCCCCCACTGAGCAAACACAGGACATGACATGAAATTACACGCACACAACAAATAATCAGCTCAGATATCCGCTCTTTTCAGTCCACCATGTTACTTTCATGTATTTTTTGCAGCCTTACTTTATGACGGGACAAAGAGTGCTGCTGACTCTTTCTGGCACAAAGACAGCTGTTATGCATGACTGCTGCAACATGAATAATTCAAGATAACATTTAGATTTTGTATTATTTATCAAAAAGTGCCACGACGTTCAGCTGAAGGTTTTAAGAGACTATTTTTAGAGAGCACTTGTCCCAAAACATTGCAGGATACATTGCATCTGATAGGCGACGGGAAAGTATATCATCATCATCCCTCCTAAAATGAAGGCTCTCCATCTATCCAACACTTCGGTCATTTAAATGAACAAATAAAAACTGATTCCACCTAATAATACTGGAGGTGATTATTCATAACTACAGAGGCTTGTGTGATGAACAGAAGTTGTTAAAAGGTGAGTCTAAAATTAAGATCTCCCCCTCCTCCTCAGCCCCCTGTTTCGCAGTTACGTCACTGTGCATGTGCTTTCAAGGCCTCCCAAAGCGGGAGAGTTACAGTCACATCACGTTGCCCGCACAATAACATCATCATCATCATCAAAATAGCAAATGTATGCTCATACTTCATTAATTAAACACTATAGGACATGTTTGTTATAACTTGGAATTCATGATGATTTTTATGTTTGTAAAATATTAAGTATATTTTTACTTAAGGAATAAAATACTGTAATTTTCTTCCAAGTTACAGTTTCAGAGGTTGACTTTTTTCCTTGAAACCTCTTTAAAGATCCTCTGCAAAGCAACCCTACGCTCAATGATTCACCATATTTATACTGCGGCTGCTTTCCAGAGTGGTCTGTTATAATAATGCTGTACTTCAGACTTTAAACTGACCACCAATCAAAAGACAATGGAAAGTTAAAATCCAGAGGGACTTCATGTTTCAACTTAAAACAACACATTTTAAAACTCTTAAGTTAGAGTTAGATGGTTGTTCAAGAGCCAAATAATATATATATATTATTAGGCTCAGAACTACATTATTCATTGTCTTTTCAGTTAATGGTTCATCGAGAATTGGTGAAAAGGTAACAGTTTTTCTTATTCCCAACATTTATATGATTTGCAAACCTAGAACACAACAGTAGCATACAACATCTCAACATAATTTGAGCTTACCTTAGTTTGATGTCAGGGAAAATGGCCACCACTTAAAAATTGGAATTGAACTTCCACTGAGAGAGACTTGACAAAAACAAATATTTTAAAGCTATACTTTGTAAGATGCCCACATTACAAAGTCTTAAAGCAGTAAGACGACGTTCGCTGAAATATTGTTTTGAATTTGAAATACAAAAACTTAAAGCACATTTGGGCACAATTACTTTGCTGGAACATAGGGAAATATGTGAGAGAGTACAGACGATAGTGATGACCAATGAGAATAACTAAGTTATAGAACTGGAGGAGAGGTAGGCTATGTTAGCTTTGGTAGCCATATTGGTAGATGACTCATCTAAAGGTAAGTTAGCAAGCTAATAATATGTTAGCTAAGGTTTTTGGGGGCTTTTTCAGCTGACTGAGATTACAACATGTAAATAAACATGATTTAAAGTAGCATCATCCAAACTTACCTCATCTGGGAACATGATTTTAACCTGGTGGTGGTTTTAAATGAAAGGCAATTACTCCCATGATCTAAAATTGTTATTCGTTTTCACTCATTACAAAGATAGTTTTTAAAACACTTTAGAGTCCTTCTGTTTTACTTTGTTATTTATTTGAGCAGAACTCGTTGGTCCTTTCAATTTGACTCACCTTCTTGTATTGTGTCACAATTTTACTTCTTTTGTAACCAGTAACTTGAATTTACCATCACCATCTGGTTTTTATGTTACTTCCCTTTTCCCACATGAGCCAGGGTCGTAACATCATGCTTTTCAAGTGAGAATGAAATTACTCGTCGTCTAGCAGGCTGTGGTGTGAATCTGCACAGTTTATGTGTCAACTATTTGGGAGGTCTTAACTCCTACCAAAGGCAGGCTCTTTCAATTTGATATATAACTGCCATTGACTTAATTTTGGTCTTAAGAATAATGATATTGTGGATTCTGTTGCCAAAGAAGCATTCAGATCAGTAGCTGAAGTCAACTTAGCGATGTTATAACTTTAAAAATATTCTTTGATAGGCGAAAATGATGCATTCAAATTAGATTTTCTAAACAGTAAAAAAGTATTAGCATAAAAATATACCAAAGTGCCAAAAAAAACCTCCTAATGCAGAATGACATATTTAAGAATAATATATTGTTTGAACGGATTGTGTATTAGTAATGCAAAAAGTGTTAGTTTAATGTTGCAGCTAAAGGCAGAGCTGAAACAAATACTTTGTATTTCAAATTTAAAAAAAAACATAGTTGTATGAAGAAGAATATAAAAAACATGGGGAAAACTAAAATAATAAGTAGCTACAGTTTATAAAAAGACTTAAGTATAAGACTTACGTAAAGGTACTACTACTGAAGGACTTCTGCATGTCATAAGTAACAGGTTCTGAGCATTACCTGTTCTTTCATATTCACTCCTGTAATCTATTGCTCAGTGTGAGTCGTTAGTGTTTTATTTTACCTTTTTTTTGACAGCGTCTGCCCAGTCATGCTTTGTTTTACAGTCAGCTCTTCAGGTGCCAACTGCTTGACAAATTACACCTTCCAGTGTTTATGGGTCTGCCTGATGTCTGAGCGAGTGACTCATTATGTATGTGGGCACGGGGGATTCCCAACTGTGCAGGGAAGACGGAGGAGAAATAAAAAACCTTTCCTCCACTTTGCAGCCTTGAGGGGATGTACAGTTCAGTTGACAGGAGGCCAAGTGAGAGAGGAGAGAGTTATGTTGGTGTTAAATGTGATGCCGGGTGAGGCTGAAGGGGTGAAACATGGCATGGTGACAGGCATAGAGGGTGAACACTGAGAACCAAGGGTCAGTTGTTGAGTTAAGTATCTGCTGCTGGCTCTGGATGTGGAAACTGAAAGTAGTCTGGGTGTGGAACCAGACAATAAAGCAAAGTTTCCTAGCCCTTCCAACAATGACACCACAGTCAATACCCAAACATGAAGACCTATAATTTGTATTTAACATACATAAGAAATATGGTAGAATGGAATAGACTTAAACATTGCATTGCTATCGGGCAGTGAGCTGAGGAAAAAGAGCAGTCACACAGTGAAGTTTCTCCTCTGTATGAGCGCAGTATTGTGCTGTTGCATGGCAACAGTTTCCAGAGAAATCTTTGCTCAGAAACACTCCTCTTTGGTCTTCTCATAACGGCAGAAAAACGGGCTGACTGCAGGAATACAAATGGCCTCATGAACCATTTTAGCCTGCAGAGGGTTAAGAGCTGCTTTTTTCATGTTGTAGCACGTTCACAGAGGAGCCAGCTCAGAAAATGTACAAAAGCTAAAATAGGTTCAATCAGTTTCGAAAAGCCAAACTATTTTTACCATGTTGTATTAGAGGCCACACGAGGATATAGGATGTTTATTTGTGATTGAACTACTGCAGCTTCCATACAACCTGTCACCAGCTGAACAGGTAATAACAGTAGTTTGATATCAATCCTCAATTATAGGTAATTTTTCAAGAGTAAACAAAAAGCAACAACACAACTGAAGACAAATAAATTAATAGATTAACAATGTGGGATGAGGTGACTCTAGTTTTAAGTATTAGTACTGTATTAATGTTATAAAAACGAAATATTTAACTACTTGGAAGACACAGAAGCTGAGGTTTTTTTTGTAGTATGTGAGGCAGCCTGTATTGCGCTGCACTGTGTTCAACAGTGGTCATTAACTGGGAATCTGATATTTTGATCAAAAGATCAATTTATGTACATTAAATATGAAACTGGAGACTGTTAGCTTGGCTTAGCTGAGCTTAGCATATAGACTGAAAACAGGGAACAGTCCTTTCTTCTTAATTCAACCCAACCTGAGATATGCTAATATGTTGCTAACGCGACAGTCTCAGTGGCATACAGTGATTTACTTGTGATAACATTTGTATTTGAATCATTTTCTGTTTCATTCACTTTGAAGCAGATTCATCATCGTAACTCAGCACAATATATAAATGAATGCTAATTTAGATAGGTTGAAAGTTTGCTAACTTTCTCTAGCCTACACTTGTGAATCAGGTTTCCTTTTTTATTTTCTATCGATGTCAAAAATATATTTATGCTAACTCTACGCTAACTGTTATGCTATCTCTTAAAACCTCCATGACAACACAATCGATACACAATCAAGCAGAAGAGTCATTTTTATTTGTAGTCACTGTTATGGTGAAAAAACAACGTGTTTCACAATCCTGTGAAATCATGATGCATGTCATCACTTCTTTCCTGGTTGATTAGGATGCTTTGTCAAAATGCTTTGCTCTTGTCCTTTGTACTGAAGTGTCTTGCTCTCTTGATTATTGATTTGTTAAGGCCTTCTGGTTAAAGGTTGGGCTCTCTACCTTTTACACAATGCTGCCCTCTACTGGTGTGAAGATTTTACTACAATAATAATTAAAAAAAAGTCAGTCTGCTGTGTTTTTAGAGATGTTTGAGGCGCTATGAAGCTAGAGAGCATTTTTTAACATTTCACCAGAGTCCATGTTGATGTGGAGTTTGTTCCTTCAGCAGATTCTTAATGTCATTTCTAAAACTATAAAGGCGTCCCCAAAAAAACATGTCTCAAGGTTGCCATCAAGTGCTTTAGATTTCAAACAACTAAACTGTGAAGGAATGAATGCCGCAATCATTCAAGGCCATTGTTTAAAATAACCACTTTTATTTTCTTCAACCACCGTAAGAAAATGTAAAAATATCTTCTTTTTTTTTGGGAGGTGGGGTGGGGGATCGTATTCATATCTTTAACAATCCAAGTAAATGCTCACATTCATCTGTAAATTGGATTTTAACAAAACAGAAAACATGCAGAGAAGCCAGAATAAAATCTAATCTTTCCTGTGATCATTATATGCACTATCCAGTCAGTTATATTCACAATATTGCAGACCTATAACAGTCCTAATCCTTAGCGTAGGAAAAAGCATTTGAGCACAAAACCATGAAGGAAAAGCAAAATTAGGAGAGATAATTGAAAAAGAAAGAAAGAAGTAAATGTAGAAAACAAAAAGAATATTCCTGCATATTCTCCTCTACTAGTCTTTGTTTAGGAGTCCGTACATTCTGTAAACGTGTCGTCCTCATACAAGTCCTCCAACTCTCCGTCTCTGCTCCCCTCGTTGCTGACTTTCCTACTGGAGACAAATGCTCGATTATGTAGTTGAAGGAACTGAATGAATTCAGAAATGAGGAGGAGGAGGATGGGGAGCAGGGCGAGGGTGACACTGGACTACAAATGTCAAAGAGTACATTATTGTGCTCTTGTCCTCCACAGAACAGCTGATCACTCTTTATCCACATAAACCTCCAGAAGACATAAGAGAGAGACGGGGAAGCCAACACTAAGCACTCTGCAGCAACCGTGTGTCCATTTATTTTGGGTACAGCATGTTGTTGAGTGCTTTGTGTTGTCTTGTCTCTTTTAAATCCTCTTAAGGCTGAACAAACAACTGATGAGCTGTGCTGTGTATGAAGCGCATGAAGCTCAGCCTATATGCTGTTATAAAAAGTTACCTCAAGGAAGGATGAAGCTGAGTTGAAGACCCCAATAAGCCCCAAGAGCCACTGCAAGAAGGAGATGTGATGTAGATGTTGATTAATTTGGGACACCATCAATGAGAAACACTGACTGTAATGAAGCTCGTTAAAGGCACAGTCAGACATAGTGGATAAGAATGAGTTTGCTTTTTTCTGACTTCGATCGAAAATTGATAAAACTGTCAAGTCTTCATGGTAATTATGAAGCTACAGCCAGATTAGCCGCTTATCTTAGGTTAGCTTAGCTTAGCTTGTTTTAGCTTAGACTGTGAACGTGTTGATCAGTTATCTTAACAGTCGTCGCCTGCTTTAACCTGTAAAGCGCACAGGTTGATTCTGTTGTCTTTGATCACAGCTAGTTTATTAGTTTCCCCCCTGTCGTCTGTTGTTATGCTAAGCTAAGCTAATTAGGCTGCTGTCTGAAGCTTTCTTTTAGACAAACAAATCTAATTAAAACATTTTGATCTTCTTCTTTAAGCCGGTTGTCTCAGACTTTTAATTTTTAATTTAGATCTGCAATTGGGGATTCGGTTTAACCAATGTTTATAACTCCAGCGCTCAAATATAAGTCCATGTTTTATCCATCGCAGTTTCTGTGTCTTAGATTTCCTCATTCACATATCACAGATCAGACGGCCTGATTGCACAGATTCTCTGTGTGGGAGTCTGCCGAGCTGGTGGTGCAGCATGATCATGTGTGGAGGAGGCTGCAGCTCCACATCGCTTCACATGGAGGTGTAATTAGCCCCCTCCCCCCCACCCCCCCTTAACTGACAGGACTGTCTTCTTAAGGGAAAATAAAAGCAGTGCAGCCATTACTGCTGCTGTGGGGCATCCGTTTAGCTTTAATGACAGGACAGATGCTGTTATCAGCCTCAGTGTTCGACTGATTTAAGGACAAAAAAAAAAAGATCATTCAGTTATAGAGCTAGTTAGTATTCTAGAAATATGATATATTTATAAGAGAGAGACACCTTGCATATAAAGTATGTAACTGATCTATTTTTATCCAAGCATCTGCTGGCTGTTGTTTTGTTCCAGGCCTAATCGCAGAGCTGGCGCTTTGTCAGAGCGGAGCAGGCAGGATTTGCAGAGTAGGCTACTTACGTAAGAAGACCTCCAGGAGCAGACATGGACCTCTCCGCCCGTCTGCCCTGACTCTCAAAAGGATTAGTGAAAGAGCGCTTCCTCAGCATGGACTTTACCAGGATCTGCAGAGGACATGAGAGAGAGTTCCAAGAATGTTTTCATTCTGAAAATCTACGGGGAAGACACACCTGTGCCTTACATATGTTTTTGTATTTCTATGTGAAATCTTGTTACAATTCTGGTAAATTATTTTTCTGGTTATCTCGATACTTAACAGGTATCCTATGATGCCAAGAGAGTTTGTTTAAATGTCTCCCTACACCGACCCTGCTGCTTTTTTGGACAGTGTTTTCTGTGATGTGAAGTGTTAAACAGAGACGAGAGAGGAGGCGTCCTGCCACTCACCACAGTGGAGAGCCTGGGGATGAGTTTGACGCTGTTCTGCACCTCCTCCTCAGTCACCTCCACCGCCGTGCAGTGCTCCTCCTCCAGAGGAAGAGGGTTGGAGCCGTTCTCCGTCACCCACGGATGGAGCTGTAACATCACGCACCGAGAAACACGAGGATTATGCGGAGAGTTACACAGATTGAAAAAAATAAATACATGGCAGTTTTTTTTAATTAATCGAATAGAGTCACTTTGTCCTTTGCAGTCACCTTCATTTGGGGGATGGTGATTCTTGTTCCGGGGTTTTTATCCAACATTCCTTCAATGAGATCCCTCAGGTAGTTGCTTATTGTCGGCCTGTGGAAAAAGTTTAACAACGGCTGTTTTTTTGGAACAAGAGCAAAATCCACAACATCGGCCCTTTGGAGAAACACCTGCACTTAAATTGTCCCTATAGACTCCGTGTTTTAAACTAGTTCTGTCATCCTGCTGTAGCTACACACACCCTACATGTCATTCCTCTGCCGAATGTTTGCTTACATCTCTGGATATTCCACAGGTTTGTTCTTGATCTTGTTGTGCAGAGAGATGATGTATTCGTCATAAAAAGGGCACTGGAACCGAAAGAAAATCAATCATCAAAATGGTGCTGGCTGCTTTTATTCTCTATGCAGTTTGCTGTGAACTTTCTCACCTTCCCAAAGACGAAACAGTACAGTGTGACTCCCATGGCCCAAACGTCCAACGCCTGTAAACAAACACAGTCATTATCAGAGCTGTCATTAATGAGAAGCTGGACAGAACTTCTCACATTTAGGCATTGTCTACAGTAGTCTATTTTACAGTTAAAGCGCGGAAGAAGTTTTTGTCCTCACCTTCCCGCTGAAGCTCTGCTCGTACTCGGTCATCATCTCGGGGGCCATGAAGGCCGGCGTCCCGGCCGTGCTGTACAGGAGGGCGTCTGCACCCTCAAACTCATTGCTCACACCAAAATCTGCGAGCTTGACGTGACCATCGTCTCCCAGCAGCAGGTTTGAGGGTTTGATGTCTCTGTGGATGATTTTTTGGTAGTGCACTGGGCAAGAGAAACCAAGAAATGGATTACCTTCCGATCAAATGAAATTGCTTTAAAGTCATTAAATTAGGATCCCTGGTCCATTTGTGTAAATTAAGCACTTAGAAATTAAAGACATGAACACTTGAATATATTAAAACTTATGAAAGAACATTGGACTTTCACTTGATAAAAATGTAATATTGACTTCAGAAAATTTGAGAATGTTTGATACTTCACAGCCACTGTATGTATACATAACATACATAATCAAAGGTTATAGTTACATTCATGGCTCTATTAGATAATTATAAAGTATTATTTTCTGTAATCTTACAGTACTCTATTCCCAGGACAACGTCTCTGAAGTAAAAGCGGGCCTGCTCCTCTGTGAAAGGATCGTCTGTCGGCACCTCCATCACCGGTCTGTCCGACAGGAGAGGTGGAAGAGGAAGGTAAAGGTATAAATACACATTTCAAATCACCAACAGGCCAAATGCTCAATGGATTACGGTTTGATAACACGATAAGACACACAACATACCCTTTTGTCATCAACTCGAAGGCTTGAGAGCAAATAATTAGAGTTTAGTTTCATAAGACTAAATGTAGTTATCGGTACATGAGGAAGGATGAATGAGTTCTTACCCATATGAAGTCCGTCTTCATCAGGATCGTCAAGAACCTGCAAAACAAGTCAAGTCACTTTTCTGTTCTGCACAAATATACGACCAGTCATTTCTTGAAACCATCAAAATACACAAACACAAGTTGCGTTCTTTTGGCTTAGAGCTTGTCTGATGACAGTGGGTTTCCAAGTGGAGCTTCAAAACTTCAATCTAATAAAATGTCACTCTTATACTATCACTAGATGTATTGCTAACAACAGCAGATACATTCCCCATGCTTTTATTTCCATGTGCCTTACAACTGACTAAAAACTGGATTTTTCCAGACATCACATGCTGCAGGACTGAGTCAGTGACTGACCTCTACCAGTTTGACAACGTTATGATGGTCCAGTTTCTTTAGGATGGCGATCTCCTTGTAAGCTTTCTCCAGAGGCAACATGGCTTTGGTGTAAGGGTCCTGTGGAAAGGTTGCTCCTTGGTGAGAGGGGCGGCCTGAAATTAAACACAACATACACATGGAAAACAACACATCACAAGAAACAGCACAGGAACATTTGATACTCGTTATACATTATAACTTGGCAAAACAGAGCTCTTCACTCACGCAAGAATCCACTCTGCCTCATCAGCTTCTTCTTTGAAACAACTTTCATCGCCTGAATTCACCAGATATAGCAAATGTTAGTAAAAGCCAAACAGAAGTGCAAAACAATAGACCACAGATGCATAATTTATAGGTTTTAACTTACGTAGTACTGCTCAGAATCTTCACTGTAAGCCAGTCTTACCACTCCATATGAACCCTGGGGTGTAAAAAACAACAAAGAGCCTTATAAAGCACACACATCACTTCTGTTTCAGCTTCTCATATGAGCAGTTTTGATGAATTACCTTTCCAATCTCTTTGTTCAACTTGTACTGGTTGAGCTGGACGCAATCCTGCAGACAATGGACAGAAACTGTGATCAGTAAAGAATCATATTATGGATGTTTTGAATGACCTCAAACTGAGTCAAACTCACATCGCCGCCTGTGATGGACACGCGTTTGGTCTCGATGGTGGGCTGTCGGGCCATGCGGCTCCCCTTCTCCTGCAGTGACATCTTCCTGTCTGAGAATCGAGCTCTCTGAACACTGCTGGGCCTATAGCCATTAGGCGGGGTCACACATTTAGCAGCCACATTCATGGCGGCCACCAGGTCGGCCAGATCACAGTTATGCTCCGAGTCCAGCCCATTATTGTGGTCCAAATCCAGCCCGTTCATGTGCTCCAGGTCCAGCCCGTTATTGTGCTCTGAGTCCAGCTCATTATTGTGCTCTGAGATCAGATCCTTATTGTGCTTTGTGATCAGCTCAGTATTGTTGCCGGAGTTCAGCCCGGCCCTGCAGGCGGTGTCGGCGCTCATGGTGGATGGATCTGATGCACACACAGCAAAACGTTTTATCTTGGTATAAGCAGGAAACGATGATTCAGCACTACACTAAAACAGAAAATCAGACACAAGTTTAATTAACAACAAAGCTTCGAAAAAGAGCTTTTATTTAGGAGTGTCTAAAAAGAAGCTGTCAAAATGTTTAGTTCAAAGACATTGACCTTGAGAATGTGGAGTTTTAAATTCTTCTTATTTTTCTTGAATCGTCAACATTTAACATCAAATTAGAAATATCATCCAAAAGCTGAGGTCAAACTGAGATTTGCACAGAAACAGATCCAGCCTCATTTTGAATAGTAGGATAAGTTTTGCTGAATCCGTCTTTTGATGAGTTAGATTATGATCAGACAATCTGCTGCTTCTACTCTCAGACCACTAGACAGATTATCATTCTGCCATTCAGCGAACAAAGTTGGTTGGCACTATATGGCTCATGATGAATAGTTAGATCTTTTTTTGAGATTACTTTTTGGGCTTTTTCCCACCTTTATTGAGCGAAAGGACAGTGGATAGATAGGAAACAAAGGAGAGAGAGAGAGTGGGGAATGCCATGCGACAAAGAGCCAAACAATACTCTCAGTACCCCTGAATATTTCAAACCGTGATCTCAAAACCAGGAGTGCAGTTGTTTAACTGATTATTTCCTCTGCATTTCCAAATCGTTGCAGGTGAGGCAAACTCGATTTTAAAGCCTTGATAAATGATTGTATGAATACATTTTTTTTTAAATTGGACTGTTGACAATTTTATTTGTATTAATCGCTAAACTTTGACAGTAATTTTGTTGTAAAATTCCATTATTTTGCATTCCAAATTTTGCATTTGTGATGCTTTTAATCTTTAATATGTACTGTTGTAAGCTTAAAGTACTTCTCTGCCTGTTTTGATAAATACCTGCTTTTATTTTGAAAGAATATAAGGATTTTTAAAAAAGAATGATGGCATTAACTTAACCACAGAAAAAGGAACTTGCTACAGAAAAAGTCAGTGAAAACAGCCACCGGACGCGGTAAAAAAAAAGTGAAATGTTTGATGTCATTAGGTTTAAATTACTTTCGACTTGTTAACGTTGTCTGGGAGTTTTCTTTAAAGAGAAAAGAGACATTGAAATGTGCAGCGCTGTCTTTATTTTCTATCATGCAGGTTCAGGAACATGCTGCGGGGGCTTAACTACGGTGTGCCAAAAGAGACAAAAACAGCATGCGATTACCTTCATTGCATCGCGATTAACACATTAACGCTGAGAGCCCTTCAAAATAAAGTGGCATTCATAGGAAGGAATGATGCTCTAATGGAAGTTTTTGGCATCGCCGAGTATAGATAAATCAAGGATGATGTTGAGAAACGTAAAAAAACAGAAGAGGTAGGATATTCTTTATTGTCCTTCATTTAACCCATACATAAGTACGAATACCGAGCCCAGAAATCCATTCATTAAATCATAACTTCATATACTGTGTTCAATTTGTCTTCTCTGTACACTTGAAGTTGACGCAGAAGCTCTTTAGAGTAAACACCATCAGTCTGGTGTCTTTAATGAATTATGAGTTTTGGCCCTTAGTCCTAACTGCTTTGTTTGCTGCTCTGTCACTTCGATCTTTCTTAGTATTGGAAGTATTCACTTGTTTGAAACCTAAACAGGAACTGTTTGTGTTGTGTTCTTTATCATTACATAATGTTTGAATGGCTGAGCACTTAAACTGGGGGCTTAGAACCTGAAAACAGATTTCTTATTTCTTGTGCTCAGATTCGTCTAACAGATGGCAGAAGACTCAGAAGAATAAATACAAACACAGGAAATGAGAAATTTCACCTCTGACAACAGTCTGGCAGCAAATAAGAGACAACTCATTGCTCAAAATACAAGCCAAAGAACTGAAAAGCTTCTTATGTAACGAGGTGGAAAGCTTTAATAGGCTAGTTAATTAGGTTTAGAACACTTACACAACACACTGGACTGATACAGTATGTATACATCTTTTAAAACACATGTGCTCCCTTTGAAACATGTAAAGGTTTAACACTTGTTTATGCTGAATAAAAACCAAAGTAATGCTGCAAAATCCTAAAACATTCTGAATCCCTTTTTAAATCTGACACTTGTAAAATGAAGATCACTTCAAGGTAAAATGTGTTGTTTTGTTTTTGTACTCACACAGTGGAGGGGTCCTGCTGTGTTGAGGGCTGCTCATGGTCATCCGCATGTTGTCCTGCTGCTCCGAAGGATGGAAAGTCCTTTGTGTCTCAGTGCAGGACTTTCACTGACAGGCAGGGAGGGAGCTCTGCAGTGCTCATCTTTAAGGATTAGCTCAGGCCACATATAGCCCGGTTATTCTGAGGGAGGCCAGCAGTGCAGTGGTGATCTGCAGGGCAGGTTGTGGTGGCAGCTGCACTCTGGTCAGACAGAGCTGGACATCATGACAAACACAATCTGGGGAAAAAACACACAGAGTGACCTCACTAGTGTTTGGTAATAATAACACATTATAGATAACATACACTTTGTTTTTATGTAATAAAACTATATGCTTTCTCTTTTCATTTAATGTACTGTATCTTGCTTGTTATTCAGATATATAGCATACAATTTTTTTTAAAAATACATCATTTACAATAAAATAACCTGAAGATTCTTTAATATTTCACTAAAAGTTGAAGGACTTTTTAATGTACAAATTATTTTGAAATGTCTCCTCGATTCTTTTTTTCTGAACATCAATATTCAGAGTTGTTATTTTGTATATATAGATATATATTTTTGGTCATATTTTTGTTGTGTTTGTAAGATTTTACATTGTAAATGTCTATTGTATTTTTGATGGTTTTGGAGGTGTCCTAAAACAAAAGTTTGCTCTGGCCTCAGCAGAGGTGAAAATGTCCTTTCATATGGGTCAGGAACATTTCTGTTTCACATGCTTGATGGCAGTCCAATCCTTTAAACACACCTACATGTCAGTATTCATCTGTAGTTCTATCTCCTGGCAGGCATTATGAAACAGCCAGTTTGAGTGTTGGATGTGGTTTCAATCAGTAGCCTGAGGGTGGCGCCTCTTGACCTACCTGTTGTACTTGCAGGTTCAGATGCTGCAGAGAAAAAGCTGCTTTCAGCTCAAATATTGGCAAAAGTCACTCTTACTTTGAAAGTTTGAAACCTCAGTTTAGTTGTTGCACTGTTTTAGATAAACATAATTTCCTAAATTTTCATAATTTGGTTCATTTTAAAAATGCATGTTTTATGTATAACATTTTGCACGGACTTGCTCCTCCTCCTTTCGAAGGACTTTATAAAGCTGAAGTCTGCCAGTGGGATCGGCACCGGGGCCACAGCCCGAGGAGACTGTGAGGTCCCACACAGACGCATTACATTCAGACAAACTGTTCTGTCAGTCAAAGGAACTAAATATTGGAATATTCTCCCACTCACAATAAGAGACTCACAAACATATGCAACTATTCAAAACACACCTCAAACAGTGGATAAAAGAAAACCAAGTCTGTGACCACCTTTAACCTTTAACCTCTATTATTGTCTTGTGTCACTTGTGCCTTTGAATTTGTATTTTATTTGTAATTTGTCTTTCTCTGTTACCTGCCTAGGGACAACAGATGGAAACTAGCACTTCTGCTATAATCTGGCATTTTTATCGCTGTAATTGTTCATATTCACTGTCCCTAACAAACAAACAAACAAATAAATAAATAAATAAATAAATAAATAATAAGTAAGTAAGTAAGTAAGTACAAGCAACTGGAAAACTTTGATGCACCATCTTGTTGAAATAACAACTAGAGTACTTGGTGAAATATATTTTAGTATCAATGCCTTAACTTAACTGTGATTTACTGTCAAGTGTCAGTTACCAAAACTGCCTGATATCAAAAATTTAAATTGAATGCTTAAAAAAAAAGTTTTGGTTCAATTTTAATTATTCATTTGTGACATAATGTAGTTTGCAACTTTGTATCTTTTTCAAATACCTTCAATGCCTCCTAGTAGCCATGACCATAGACTGAAATATTAAGGCCATGACACTGGATTGACAATTAACAATATATATTAAATGCACACACAATACATACAGTAATCTAAACTTCTTTTGAATAAGCCAGTTCATTGATACATGATAACACGTATTTATTTACACAATAAATGTATGATGGCACCATAGACTGTAAGGATGGCACACATATTCTTAGCTAGCTTAGTTAACTAGATAGTGTTAACTACCTCATATAGCCTACGTAGGCCTATACTTTTGGACACAATTACTGTTGATATTATGCACACACACAAATGTTATAATGTTTAATTATATCAAATACTTTCAGAGGTAAAATGAAGTAAAAACTTACACGTACCCGGCCTTGCAGACTGACCTGAGAGGTGAGCCTTCCAGTCTTCGTGGTCGACAATAAATAAATAAAAATAAATGTGTCCCTGGCAGTCACAGTTTTATAAGAATTAAAGGTTCCCAAGATATTCAATAGGAAATGCATGCGGGTCATTTTGACCCAGTTATGGAAGCTCGGTGTGGTAATACAAAAAACACTATTTATTCAAACGTAGAAAATGTAAGTGAAAATATTCAATGGGATGATATCATAAACATGTTTTTTGATGAATAGGCTACCAGGAATAAATGATAGCAATTTATAAGTACAAAGACAAACAACCCCACCTCGTCATTTTTGACATACTTGTGCATAGCATATGGTTATGTAGCCAATTTTTGTTTTACTAAATCATAGAAACGATAGTGATACACAGTTAATAAACATTTATTTGTATAAACACTAAATTTAAGCTCTTGTATTGGAAGAGAACTGGGTAGAGACAATGTATGGTATAAAGCAGCTCCAGGTTTCTGGATGAATCATTACATGATGAGTGAATAGATATTCATGTAATGATTCGTACAGAATCACATAAAACTGTTCAATAAAAGCTTTTTTCAAGTCTGAATAGTTCATGACCTAAGACTTATAGATTGTCCCTGGGGGGAAATTGGATCTGCAGCAGCAGTGATAAAAAAAAACAACAACACAAGGTGCGACACATTGAATATACAAGCACAGATACATAACCTCATAATAAAAACACATGTTGCAGCTGTAAGGGCTGGAGCTATATAATGAATTCTGCCCTCATACTCTTTGTAACTATCAGATGCGCTTCCTAAATGAGTACTAATAATTCAAGGCAATGGATGAGTAAAACCTACTAAAATATGTTTATTTCTTTTTAAAAGACTTTCCTGATCCAAAGCCTCTTGAGGTAAATTAGCCAGTCGTTATTTGTAACACAACTGCATCAATTAATTCATTGCAAACTTTTATGACAACCATTAAATACGTTCACTAATCAATCAGAAGTGTCACATTCACTTTCACCAGCTTTTTTTAAAAACAGGATTTGTTCTTTTCTTTGTCATTTTTGATACTAAATGAAGAATATTTTGTTTTTGTTCTGTGGTTCAACATAAGAAGTTCTTTGAAGGCATCACTCTGGACTCTGGGGAACTGAGATGAGCATTCTTTTTTTAAATATAGCAATGAAATAATCTCCAGGTGAGAAATATGCTATAGTTGCACAGCTACACTTTTCTATCATTTATTGAGCATCACACACCAATTCTGTTATTAATGAATTAATGTATCGCATGTTGATCAGAGTTTTATGTTTTTTTCTATTTAGAACATCACAGAAATAAATACACCTCAAGATATCTGTCATACCGTAAGATTGTAGCAGCAGCACTGAACACATCTGAAAGGGAGGAAATTGGTCCTATCGGGATGACTGTGGTGACAAACAACACCCATTTTAAACAGCTGATCACACAAAAGGAATCATGCTTCTATGTAATTGATGTATCTTTAACAGTTTGGTACAGTTTGCCAAACCAGTTCAACCATCACTGGGATGATTAGCGAGGTGGAGCAAGTTCAAAATCTTTTGATTATTATCTTTGTCAGACACTCCTTTTAACTTACAAGACTCCAACTGGGCAGTTTCCTTGTCAGTCCGCTGATCCTTTGTGTTTCACTTTTTCCAACTCATTTACCTCAGAGACCCTGTTTTTTTGTTTTTTTTCTAAACAAAAACATGAAGAGATGAGCTCCTGAGAACAGGGTTTCCATTTCAAATGGCTCCCAAAAGATAACAATCATTTTTTGCAGTATTTCAAAAAATATGTCAACGCATACTAAAACTGAGTCTTTTATTCAATTTAAAGCTGTTATAGCTGTTATTTTCACAGACTGTCGGTATGGAGACATGGTTCAGGAATGTTTTATCTTCACATTGTTTCCTTGAACGGACACACGTAAAGGAGATTATATAGTAAAGTATCTATGACAGCCTCCATACATGAACATCTTGGTGGGTTCGAATGAGGGTCGAGGCTGCTACATTTCTTTTTACATGTGTGTGTGTCATGATGTATGTGTGTGAGTGTGGGGGGGGGTCATTTTTTTGTTTATTCCATTCAAAAGATATTTCATTATTAGATGATGTTGTGTAGGTATTGTCCAAGTATCCTGTTTTTATTAGGTTATTAACAGATGCACACATCATTGCATATTACACAGTTTCCCAAATACTTTCCAGTATTTATATCTAATAATTTTAAAAGATGTGTATGTTCATTATGTGTACAGGTGTTGATTTGCATCCCAAACTTTACATTTAGTTATTTAACGTATAGATCGTTGACTGGAAATGAGCAAAGCAAAACTGCCCAACATTTTCCTGTTCCAGAAATGCAGTTGTGATATTTTTCTGCTTTTCTTGTCATGTGTGACGGTTATTTAATATTTACATAGTCGGGAAAATGTTTGTATGGAGAGAGTAAATCACTGATCTGAAGCAAACAGGTGACAGGCAATAAAACAAACATAAGTCAGAGTCATCTTTATTTGCTCTTGGGCTGGTATTCTTTTCAAGATCATTACAAGGCATCATTCAAGACTAATAAACAGTTTTAAAATAATAATCATAATATTGGGTTTATTTTATAACTTATATAAGTAAAAGATACAATATGAAGAATTATTACACAAAAAAATCTAAATTAGTTACAAATGGACTCAACCTATGAGAAATCTTAGAGTTTTAACGGGACGTATTTTGTCGCGTTGCTGTGGAAACACCGGATGTTACGTCAAAGACTGAAGCTAACAGCTGCTGTACTGTTGCTGGATGTGCTAGTGGGATATAAACGTCATGTACACCGTATCT